AGTGGCCCAAAGTCACATCCCCAGACAGAAACACTGATCCATCCCCACAGCCTCTTACAAACAGGTAAAACTCCATCTTGCAAAGCTTCACGTACCACTTCCCGGGGGCTACTTGGCCCTGAGGGGATGTAGAGCCCCTACTGATGCTGTAAGACCTGAGGGTGCACAGCCCCACATGTGCCCAGTGCATTACCTGGGCTCATCTCCCACTGGAAAACTTCCACCACCAATGCATCTTCTTTGATTATTGTTTCTGGCTGGCTGCATCTCAGGGATAGGAAGAAGTTAATTAGATGTCTTAGCACCTGGGAAATAAAAGCCTTGATGACCTTCATTGACTCTATCGGAAAATAATTTAGGGTTGTTTAGCTTCCTTTTTGCACTGAGCAGATCATCAATTAGTAACCATAAGTAAAGCTAACAGTTTTTAACACAATTTAATCCCATGTGCTATTTTGTCACCCTTGATATTGCCGTGTTCCCGATGATCTCAGTATTGATGGTTTTGTCCTCAAGTTCTGATGCTTAAATGGGCAAAACATATTTTATCCTATAATTAAATGAAATGCTCTGCTGGGTGAACATTATCTTAAGTTTTATAGTATTATAGTGCTTTCTATCACCTTAATATATCACCATAGTTCTGTCACTCCAATGAGGTATTACTGTATTATTAGTGTAATACATCATTACGGCAAGGTGTTTTCATGATGTATTGCTTAAAGGATGAAGCCATCAGGAAGGAAAAAGACCCATGAGCAGGCTCAATATAATTACAGGATAAAAGGATACTTCATCATGAAATCTGATACTGATTTGACCTGGAAGTGAATGAAGGCAGGGAAATGGAAAGCTACAGAGAAAACAAGAGAAAAACAAGAATTTCCCCCACTGATGGATGCTACAATGGAGGTCAAGATCTCATCTGCATTCAGCACTCGGTATGGGATTCACTGCACCTAACTGTGTCCAGCTGAATGCTACACACAGCTTGAACAGATCCATAGTCATCAGC